CTCCACCCTCTCCTCCCTCCACCCTCTCCTCCCTCCACCCTCTCCTCCCTCCACCCTCTCCTCCCTCCACCCTCTCCTCCCTCCACCCTCTCCTCCCTCCACCCTCTCCTCTCTCCACTCTCCCATCTCTTCTTCCTGCTCTCCCTTGAACGTTGCCACACACTTCACCAGAAGCACGAATGGCTTTAGTGAAGGAACAGCCCTAGTCCTAGTGACCATAGAGCAATGGGCTCCATGAATCCTGTCGGAGGGTGGGTACTGGTCTTGTTGGACATGTCTTTGCTCAAATTAATTCCCAGCCTGAAAAATAAAAGTTTTTCTTCACCAGAAACATGAAGCAGTCCTTCCCACAAGGTGTTGTTTCCACCATTATCTCCTTATTTTTCCTTTTGTACATATTTGGTGTCGCATGAAAAGCTGCAAAAGAAAGAATCATATTGTAACAAATTTCTTCACCAGATGGAACAATGTGACAGAGAAACAGGGAGAGGAAGAGGTCATTCAGTCCATCAAATACAGAAATGAAATTATACTTGCCTTTACCTCAATTCCTGTAATATAGTTATTAACAAAAATCCATCAATCCCACCATTCACTTTAATAAACATTTGATCCAGCATGAATTGAAGAAGCAAATTCTGAACTTCTAGCACAACTTCACATCTGAAAAGGTTTGGACCTTGTTTTTAAAGTATGCCCCCTAATCTTAGCCTTTGCAAATGCCAGAATGACTTCTCTCTATTGACCTTAACATCTTCAAATATTTAATTAAATCACCTCTCAATCTCTCTTTGTAATTTAACCCCTCAATGAATCATTCTGGTAAATCTACACTGAACTCCATCCAAAAAACAGTCTATCTGTCCTAAGACATGGTGTTCAGAACTACACAGGGTAATTCCAAGTGTGGTATAAGTAAAGCTTGGATAAGATAATTTCAACCTTCTTACATCCTAGTCTTTTAAATACAAAAAACACCAATGTATTGACCTGTCTCATTTCTTCTGTATCTGTCCATGGCATTTTTATAATTCAGTGGTTCCAGAGGAAAGCTCACCGTTATCCTCTCCAGGGAAATTAGGGCTGAGCAAGGAATACTGATCCAGCCAATGATGCCCATATGTCATAAATGAATAAAAATCCAGACAAAACCACACACACTCACACATACTTATATACGCACACTCATACACATTCACACACATACACTTACACACAAACACCTACTCAGAGTTTGAGCAGACGGTGACTGTGATGAACTCAGGGATGGGCAGTAAAGGGCCAGAGATCCCCTCATCTCATAAACTAATAAGAAAAATGATTTGTCATTTCTCTTTGGATCTTTTACTGTAGCCACCATTTGCAAAGTACTCTGTTTTATCATTTTTATGTCTAAACTGGATAACCTGCATTGACATTTTCCTGCATTTAAATCCATTTGCAACTGTTTTGCCACTTGTTTCAATACCTCCCTGTAATTCTATAACACGTGCTTCCATTTACACTTCTTGGAATGTCACTGAACCTGCTACCATCAGCAAATTGTCACTCTATATCATATCATCCAAGTCATTTAATAACATGGTAAATTGTTGAGTTCCCAACATAAATAGAAGCAAAGACATGTTACAGTACACTCCACACCCATTTTACCCAACCAAGCCGTCCGTGCAAAACGCACAATAAAGTATCCAACATGAGATATGTTTCTCCAACTGGACAACATTTCATGGATAATCTCAGTGTGTGATTAACTACCACACTGGCAGTTAACTGTCAACCATCAGTAATCTGTGCGTTTTCCATGGCAGCACCAGGCTTGAGGGGCTGAATGGGCTATGTCTGCTTTGTTTTTTTTATGTTTTCTATTACGTTAAAGTTTGTGACCATGTTGTTTATCCTTTTCACTCAGACCCTCGCCTCAGCTCGGTCCAGGTGGAGCTCATCCCAATGGCACAATTCTTTCTTTTTCTATTGCTTCCAGAGTCCCATGAAATGGAATCCCTTTCTGCCAGGCCATTCCTCCCTAATCTGCTTGCCTGATCGTATCAGACTCAGTAATAATCCAGTTATTTCAATCCTTGTTTTCCTTTTCTTTAACCCTGCTCCTAGTCTCTGGAACTCTCCAAGCTTGTCTTCCTGTACTATTCCCAACCCTTTCCCCTCTAGTATCCTTTAAAATTAGTTCCACCTGTCCCTGACCAATGCTGTGGGACTCTCACTGCTGCTTAGAATCAATGCCACCTGCCTTCTTCCTTAAGATGTTGAATACCCTACAACTACAGCATCCCACTTACCCACCCTCCCTGGCCTTTACACAACCTCAACAGTTTTTCACCAGAACATACACATTCTAAGAAGGTTGTGCAGTCAGTTTCCACAAGTCCTCACTATCAATCATACCTGGATACCTCTTACTCTAAACACTAGGCCATTCAGGATTTGTCAATGACCATAAAGTGAGATGAAGATCCTCAGCAAAGAGCCCAGTTTCTCCTTTTCCTCCTTCATGTGCTGTAGTGTCTCCAATTCACTCTACAGCTTCATATTTCTGTTGATGTGTCCACAGCCCACAAGCTGCAGTCTAGACTCACAATGCACTGCCACGCCTTGTCTATTTTGATCCATATTTTGGTTTGTTTCAAAACGTTTACTTCTTTTTCTACATACTCACATGCAGTAATCACAAAAACCCTGGACAAATGTGTTGAATACTTACTGTCTGAAGCTGATTCAAGTGACAAGTATCAGAGACAGATGCAACAGCTCTCCCCCAATCTGCATCAAATCCCCACTCACACCAAAGTCTAACCTTTACAAAAGCAAAAACAGAAATTGCTGGAAAACCTCAGCAGGTCTGGCAGCACCTGTGGAGAGAAAGCAGAGTTAATGGTTCCGGTCAAGTCACCCTCCCTCAGAACTTCTAACTTTGACCCTTTTCTAACCAGTTTCTAGCCACTAAACCAAAAACACACATTTACACACTCACGGGGCACATCAAATAAACATATTTACACACTCACGGGGCACAACAAAGAAACAAATGTACACACTCACACCAGGGCAATAAAGACACAGTTACACACTCACACC